TAATCCCAGTGCTGGGAATACAGAGACAGGACAATTCCTGGGCTTGCTTGCCAGCGAGTCTAATCTCATTAGTGAGTTCCAGCCAGTGAAAGATTCTGTCTCAAAGAGAGGTGAACCATGTTTCTGAGGATGGCACTGGAGGTTGTCTTGCGGCTTCCACATGCATGTACACACCACATGCACTCATTTTCAAAAATTAAAACTAGAATTAGGCTGTCACTGACTGTACCACTCCTGAGTATTCATTTGAAGGATGGTACATCAGTATCCCACAGAGGTACTTGTGCATCCATATTTATTGTTACACTAGCCACAATAGCCAAGTTAAGGAATCGGGCCAGGTGTCTCTCAGCAGATAGATAATTCAGACAGAAAATGTGCTGTATGTACAGGGTAGAATTTCCATTTGCAGGAAAATGGATAAAACTGGAGACCGTCCTATTAGAGTAAGTCAAACTCAGAAGACAAATATCAGTGGGGCGTGGCAGGCATACCTTTGATCCCAGCACTCAGGAGGCAGAGGCAGGCCAATCTCTGAGATCAAGGCCAGCCTGATCGACATAGCAAGTTCCAGGCCAGCTCAGAACAACAACAAAAATGAAAGAAGACCAATGTCATGTTTGCTGTCATTGATAGATTGTAGATTTCATATAGCTGTGTAAATCACTTATGTATCTATGCTACGAAAGTAGAAGTGGAACAGAAGAAAAGGGGCTAGCAGGGAGAGACAAGGGAGGTGGAGGAGGTAAATGTGATTACAGTATATGATATACTTGTGTGAAGATGTCTGTAAAACCTATTATGTACAGTCGATATGCACAAATAAAATACTTTATTTACCTTTAGAGTTTCTTTGGTTTTCTTGAGACAAGAGTCTCATAATGTAGCATAGGCTGGCCTGGAACTTGGTAGTCCTCTTGCCTCAGTCTTCGAAGTACTGGTGATGCTACCAGGCCTGGCGTTTTGTCCACATCTGTGTTACACTGTACATCACGGTCAGGTATTGTTTTTCATCTGAAAGCATATAGTCTCTGGAGCCAAAGAATAGACTTTCTGCAGGAAATTGGTTCATTTCTATCTCTGTCTCTGTCTCTCCCCTTCCTCTTCTCTCTTGCACACGTGTGCATGTGCACACGCATGCACACACAAACACATGAGAGAGAGAGACGCACATTAAAACACCTACGTCTTATATCCCTTCATAAAGTAGCATAGTATTTGCACTTATTCTCAGATTACCTAATACAGTTCTGTAATTCTGTTATGTTTTTTGGTTGTTGTTTGTTTGAGTTTTTTGGTTTGGGGATTTTTTGTTTTGTTTTTGTTTTAGGCTTTGTTTTGAGACAGTCTCACTCTGTAGCACTGGCTGGTCTGGAATTTACTATGTAGATCAAGCTGGCCTCCAACTCACGGTGACTGCCTGCTTCTGCCTCCTGAGTGCTGGGACTAAAGGTGTATGCCACCATACCTGCCTTTTTTGGTTTTGAGACAGGGTCTCGTGTACCCTGGGCTGGCTGTGAACTCAATCCTTCTACCTCCACCTCTTATGGGTGAGCACCACCAAACCCAATCCTAATACAAGGAAAGCATTATATAAATAATTATGTTGTGGTATTTAGGGAATAATGACAAGGGGAAAGTGTATTTTCAGTACAGATGCAATCTTATGCTTCTGTTCTTTGTTTGGTTTTTTTGAGACAGGGTCTCCCAGTAGCCCCACTTGTACTAGAACTCGCTATGTAGGCTAGGCGGACCTCAATCTCACAGTGATCCACCCGCCTCTGCCTCCCTAGAGCTGAGATTAAAGGCCTGTACCACCACTCCCAGTTTATGCTTCAGTTTTTTTTTTAATGTTTTATTATTTTTTTATTTTATATGTATTGAGTGTATTGTCCGCATGTGTATAAGTGGACCCTTGTCATACAATGCCCCCAAAGGTCAGAAGAGGGCGTTGGATCCCCTGGAACTGGAATTACAAACAGCTGTCAGCTGCTATGTGGGTGCTGGGAATTGAACCTAGGTCCTCTGCAAGAGCAGCCAATGCTCTTAACCACTGAGCCATCTCTCCAGCCCCAATTTTTTTGTGTGTCTACAGACTAGAGTACACATGCGCCACGGTGCATGTGTGAAGTCAGGATAATTTGTGAGAGTCAGTTCTCTTCTACCATGTGGGTCCTAGAGATAAGACACAGGTCATCCGGGTGGGCAACAAATGCCTTTACTCCCTTGAGATATCTCACTGGCCCTGCTTTAAATATTTTGATCCAAAATTAGCCGAGTCCATGGTTGGGGAACCCACTGACTGTATATAATTTTTTCAAAGATTGATTTTTATTTTATGTTTATATGGGGCTATATGCACATCTGTGAACCATGTGTGTGCCTGGTTCTAATGGAGGCTAAAACAGGGTGTTGGGGCTCTTGGACTGCAATTAAAGGTAAGTTGGTATATGGTTGCTGTAAGCACTCTTAACTGCTGAGCCATTCTGCTAACCCCTGTTTTTTTTTTGTCTTTTTGAAGCAGGGTCTCCCTGTAGCCCAGCTGTCCTGGAACTCACTGTGTAGACCAGGCTGGCCTTGAACTCACAGAGATCTGCCTGCCTCTGCCTCCCAAGTGCTGGGACTACAGGCATGCACCACCACGCCCGGCTTAACCCCTGTATTTTAAAGTAATCATCTCATACTTGTAAATCAACAATCCTTTTAATACTTATGATCCGTTACTTATGCACTTACTATATTCCAAACACTTTTGTAGGCATTTAAGATAGCCAACACAAAAATCTTTGTAGTTTAGCTTGTGTTAGAGGAAGACCTTATTAATGTTGTAGAAGTTTTGACTATATTGCCTTTCTTGATACAGCTGCTGATTCTGTACTAGTTTCTTTTCTGGTTACTGGACCTGACGGAAGTAACTTGAGGGGTTTATGTAGGCTCTTGGTTCAGAGTGTAATTCTGTACATGGTGGCAGAATCAGCTCCTGTCTGTGGCAGAGGGAATGTGAGGCGCTTGATCACATTTTGGTGGGTCAGGAAGCACAGAGACATCAGGCTTCTCAGAAGCGGGGCTGGGCCTTAACCTCTAAAACCTGCCTCTTAGTAGCCCCGTTCTCCAGCTAAACCCTATCTCTTAAAGCTTTTATAACCTAAAAACAGCACCACCTGCTGGAGACCGAGTGTCCAAACACATGAGCCTAAAGAGACATTACACCTTCAAACCATAACATCCTCTTACTCTAAAGTTTTTACTTTTCTTTTCCTTAAAACATTTGCTTGTTTTGGTCTTTTTGAAACAGTCTCTGTGAACTGGCCTGGAAGTTGTTATATATACCAGGATGACCTTGAACTTGCCTCTGCCTCCTGAGTGCTGAGATTATAAGTATATACTACCATATTCGGCTGCAGTGTCTGCTCTTGAAAAATATATTGATGCTGGGGCTATAGATCGGCAGTAGAGTGTTTGCCTAACATGCAGAAGGCCTTGGTTTTGATCCCCTGTATGGCAAAAAAGAGATTCCTTGCCAGGCCTGACAGTACATGCGTATATCAGAGTATATGAACCACCACACTTGGCTTTTTACTGTATGTTTTACTGTGGTTATTAAATATCCTAGAATGTGAAGTTTCTTACACATAAAATGTGTTATTAGAATCACTGGATCATTCTTTGGAGAAGTACCCTACCTGAGTATGAAACTTATGTTATCTGATATCACTAAATCACTAAATGTATTTATTGAAATAGTAAAATGTAAATAGCTCAGAATGACCAATACATGCTAGTCCAGGTGTCATTTGGTTTTTCCATTTTTAGAAAATGAGATTGCTTAAGTGAACTGCCCAATGTAAATGAATTTTCTATCATTCCTGTTTTTATTTATTTAAAAACATTTTCTGTGTATGAGTGTTTTGCCTGCATCTATGTACCATCTGCATGGATTGTCCACAGGGGGTTGTTAGCCACCCTGTAGGTGCTGGGAACCAAACCCAGGTCCTCTGGAAGAACAGCAAGTGCTCTTGACTGCTGAGCCAGCCTCCATTTCTGTTTTAAAATTACTTAGCATTTGTTGAGTGGACTTGTGCATACCCAAATGCAAGTTTCAGGCTCCCACAGGACCCCTAAGCTTAGCTCCTGCTATATGTAGCTTTCCTTTTCTTGACACTTGGACACTAAAGAAAGCAGTTAACCAGGAACTAAGTAGGAACTCTGAAAGTACTTGATGCCCTGGATGAGTGAAAGGAAATGGTGCTAGAAATAGAATGGGTGGCTGCTTTGGGTAGCTTGGCAGCACCACAAGTTTAAATATTATGTAAATACAGAGTGGTGTTTTCCAGATAGTTTTCTTTTTTAAAAAAAATATTTTATGGGGCTGGAGAGATGGCTCAGCAGTTAAGAGCACTGATTGCTCTTGCAGAGGACCCAGGTTTGATTCCCAGCATCCACATGGTGGCTATGAACCGTCCTTAACTCCAGTTCCAGGGAAATCTG